CATTTTCAGCCATGACATTTTCTTCAATGGCACATGAATCAACATGAATGTCCAAAGTTGACTTGTTTCATGTTAACTTTATTGCCTGCCTTTTGACTACCTCTGTGAGTCAACTGCAAGGACTATAGCCTCTTGACTATAGCAGAAATAACCTAAGGTGCCCAGAGCATTTCTTTTCCTTACCATCAATCTTAATGACATTTGAAACTTCTCTCAAATCTAGTCTTTTCCTGGTTGATCTGAGAAGAAAGACTTGGCCGTTCCTATAGGTCCATCTTAGGTTTGTGTTTAGACATGGGGGCTGTGGTGAGGGGTATATATTTAGGTCCAGAAAGTGCTTGTTCCAACTGTGTCTTTAAACATTGCCCAACGTAGTACTGGTGTTTTGTGGCAATGCCTCTGGAGCCATACTGGTGGACAGAGGTGGGGAGGAAGGGAGTTTGAGAGGATGGGCGGCAGGAAGAGGCTCTGTTTCTGTTTCACATATGGGTTATTGTTTGGAAAGGAGTTGGGGGTGGAAGTCCCATGGTAATAACAGATTGGAAATGATTATGGCAATCAGAATATTTCTAAAGATAGAAACAGGCTCTGGTGAAGTTTCTAAGAGATTTGGAAACAGGAAAAAGCATTCTGTAAGATGGACAGTAAAATTTATTTAAGAAAAATGGGGAAATGATTAAATGAGAAGCCTGACATACACAGATTACTGTTTTTCTTCTGACCCTTTCTTTTCTCTCTTTCACTTCTTACCTCAGGACCTTTTCTCTTCTCATTAACACCTCCACCACAGTTGGAACTTGGAAAGAGAAAAGAAGTGTTCAGACATGTGCCTATTTGCATAGTCACGTCATTGAGTTAATGCCAGGACAGCACAAACGTTCTGTCCAGTTCTATAGAAAAGCCAGTTTTCACTCCATCAGTAAAGTATTATTTTCTTTTTGTATTAGCATAGAACAGCTTATATTGCCAGGCTTCTCTTAACTGTACATTATAAATAGTGTCTGATTAAGAATGTTCTGGATGGGTTAATTAGTGTGGTGACTATTATTAAGCAAACTGCTTGTTAGTATTATGCCTATTTGATCTTGGTATTGATGTGAAGTAATTGACCATAGAGCTACATTTAGAAAAGCTGAAATAAAGTTTTTTTGATTTCTATTATGGCAATAAATTGTTTATATTAAATATGTCTGTGAAAATATGAGTTTCATGGCACAGAGAATCAGAATAGACTGTGTGGGATGGTGGATGTGGTTTGTTTTGTTTTGTTTTTAGAATTATTAATACATTTGTCCAGCCTATTTCAAGACCAGCTTTATTGTAACAAAGTAGCACAAAAATATTTCAGCTTTTGCCTTCATTCTTACCACAGAGTATATGAAAACTAAAGTGTTTTTCACTTTCCCCAACTAAAGGAAATACCCTGTTAGATTTAGCTAATTGCCTAAATACTTCTTTTGGTGATGATCACTATAATGAATAGATTATAAGAAAAATATGAAAAGATGTTATAAATAAGGAAAACCCAGCTTGTAACTACTTTCTTTCAAGTACCGGGTTGTTATCTATATATTTATTGGTATCTTGTCCAGTTCTATTATTAAGTTTCCCTAGCTGTAGCATTTCCATAAGGAATTGATTCCATGAGCTAATAAATTATACCATCAGGGAGTTTTCCTTGAAATTCAGCTAAAATTTTCCCATTCTTAATTTCATCTCGTTACTCCTAGTTATACCCCCTTGTACCAAGCTAAATAATTATTCTTTTTCCTTGGAGACTCTTATTATGTACCCTTCTAGTTGTCACTTAACCAGGCTATTCATAGTTAGCTCCTTTAATCTGTCCTCATAAATCAGTTCTTCCATTGCCTTAATTATTATTGCTCTTCTAAACACTCTCTAATTTTCAAACATATACAGTTCTCAGATGCCCCAGATGATATCAGCTTTTGCACAGGGCTCTATCCTAACAGACTTAGTGTCTTCCTTCCCTGTACAACAAGATCCAGAACTAAATGGCATCAGTTAGCTGAATCAAATCAGCTCATGCTCATCTTGTCAAATTCGGGATGGTCTAACTGGTGTTTTCCATGTGCCCTACTTGCATTAAAGGTTTATTTTGATTTCTTTCAATTTCATGAAATTTGTAAGCTGTTTTAGTTACTGTCCTTGTTTGTATTCTGCATCTTTCCATGTCCCTATTCACTACCACCTATCAAGTCAGTCATCTGCAACCTGTGTTAACATGGGATTCCTTTCATCCTTAAGAACATTTATGGAACGTGTTGAATAAAAGCAGGCCTCGTGCCTTGCCCACAGCGAAATTCCTTGTCAGTTACCAATTCCCATTGTTTACAACCTTTTAACCAATCTCTCATCTCTTTTAATTTGCAATTTTGCTCACATGCTGGCCAATATAAATGAATTTATGAGTAAGATGGATCATGATGCTGTTTTCTAAAATGAAGATATGTTGTTTGAATCCCATTTATTTATTTATTTATTGGTGAATCCTTCATCCACTAAGTTTGTAATTCTGTTCAAATCCTTTTTAAGCTTGCCTGGCACTCTTTATCTGACATAAACAAATAGGTTACTTCACTTGCTTTGTTTTCCAGATATGTACAGATGTTCCTTCTTTTACCGTGTGTTTCATTTCTTTAGTAGAATTGAAGATACTGTCATAATAATTCTATTTTTTTTCTACCTTTTGTGGTGATTAATGGCAATTTTTTGTTGAGTTTACTTTCTGAATCTCTTCAGTATTTTGAATTTGTTTCAGGAAGAAGTTGACTCGTTCCCACAGTGATTTTGGGTCTATGAGGTTTGAAACTATACACACGCAGGTTTCTTTCCTTTTTAAATCAAGGACTAAATTTATTATTTTATTAGGGCATATTTAAGGGGTTAGTATCATTGTGTTTTATCTTTCTATATACAATCATCTATTTATTACTTGGGAGTTCTTGTGTATTTTTGAGTTTTCTCAAGGTATTTGAAATTAGAATAGAAATTATGTTTGTTTATGAAACAAACATAGAAGCCCCCAAAAGAAGCTTTTTGGTTCTGGAATGTGCATAGTGTACTACAACCGAAGACTTTGTTTCTAGCTCCTATGGCTCCTCCACTGTTTCTTAGTGTTGCCCATCAGATCTTGCTTTCAGCCCTTTTTAACACCCTCTCTCTGTCTCCACGGTGACTGTCCTGATGCCTCAGTGAGTTTCTAAAAGCCCATCTCCGCCTCTGTACACCTCACCTGAAATAGATAACCTGACCTAATGCTTTAATAATGCAACTCTTTAGATTCTACACCTGCTAGGTAAAGTTGTTTTGGTTTTTCAGCTTCAATTTTTTCTTCTTCCCTCAGCTTTGTAAGACAGCTAGGTTTATTATCTTTTATAAGACCCTACACCATGATCACACATATTATAATGTTTTTCTCCTTCCATCTTATAAGATCTTTCTGTTTCTTCAGGATCCTTCTTCCTTCCCTAGCAAGTATTCCCAAGTGAATACTGCTGTGTCCATGTGTCTCATTTTTAAAAGTCCAACCTTACCTTCCTCTTCCTTCTCTCTATCTCCTTCTCTCTCCTTCTCTCTTTCATACACAAACCCTAATTTCCTGCAGTCTGATTTCTGCCCACACCGCTCTTCAAGGATACTGCCCATCGGAGTAGCCAGTGACTTACAGCGTGACAAAGCCAGAAGCTTCTTGTTTCTGCTGTGTAGCACCTCTGCAGTGTTTTATGTCCCATTTTACACATTCTTTAAGGGTTCTTGATTGATTTCAACAGTGTGATATTACTCTTGGATTCTCTTTCTAGTCTTCCAAAAGTTCCCTTTTGCTCTCCTTCGATAGTTTTTCTTTTTCACCTGCCTCCTAAATCCATTTGTTCCCCTACTCAGTAATTCATGGAAGGGGCCAAGTTTCTGGATGGGGCTCAGGAACTCTGAGAAAGCACTTGGTAGTCTGGCCCAGTCTACCCTTCTAGACCTTACATCCAGACCTACATCCCAGTCTCTTTGTGTTGCATATTATTTCCTGAGGAGTTGTATTTCTTCACCCCTTTTTCCTTTGGTCACCTGTTCTCTGACTCCAGAGTTTCCCCAACTCTGTCTTGCAAAATGTTTTACCCAAAACCTTCTTTAAGCCTTTACTGAGCCCCAAGTCAGCATTAATCTCTTCTTCTCCTCCACTAAAAAAAAATTAGAATGGCCATTGTGTATATCGTATTTTCCAACATAGGTTAGTCGGCTGTTCGTGTGTCTGTCTCCCACTCTGCTCTAAGCATTAATGGTTTGCTTTCCAATAGATAGTGAGCTCCTTGAGGATAGGCCCTCTATTTGTATATGTGGCTTACAGGATTTAAGCTGTATTATTTTTTAAGATTTTATTTTATTTTGATTCTCTTATCAGTAAGTAACAGATATTGAACTCTGTGTGATAAAGTGTTATGGAAAAATAGGAGATAAATGATAATAAAAAAGATACTAAAATATACTTCAGGAAACATTAGCAAAGTAAATTTAATAAAAAATATATTCAGGTGCCCAAGAATACAGAACGGTCATGAGCAGAAATGACAAGTGTTAATCAAGGAAGTTTCAAACGTTTTTGTAGGTTAATGAACAATTATGGCTTGAAAATAAGCACTGGGCCATGTGGCGATTGGAAAACAGAAAATGGAAATCCAGAAGGATGAGCAAGGGAAAAGTGATAAAGCATCTCTCTAATCTTATGTTTTATGGTATATGCAGTGCAAGTTTTATAGCCATAGAAACTCTTTGGAAACCATTCAATGACAGCCCAGTCCAATTTCAAACTTTTGAACTTCCCTTAGTGGCTACTACTTTTTGCACTTATTCTAGAATTTTTGTTAAAACATCTTTATTTTTTTCTCAGTTTTATATATAATCATTATGTCCTTACAGGAAGGTAAAGGACAAATTTTACATATTTTTTCCCACTAAAAGTATATTGCATTCTTTTTTTGTAACAGATTCATGCCCAAGCACAAAACAACCCATTTAAAGAAGATGCTCAGCCTTACAGGAAATGGCGGTGCAGTTCTGTCCACGGCCCTTCCTTTTCAGCCAGAGCAGAGAGATTCAGAGGATTTATTGAAGAATTTTAATTCAGAGTGTGATACACACTCTGGCCTTGCTACTGCACAACAAGAATGTTTGGGTAACTCAGGAAGACAGGAGTCAGACTTGAAAAAGTCCAAGTCCTCAGATAATTCCGGCTGTCATCATGGAGAGAATAAACAAGATCTGACTGTTAATCCCGACATTTTGGGTGAAGTTGATAATCAGCAAAGACTGCTGCACATTGTCTGGCCTCACAGGTGGTAAGTCAAGGCATGCCAATTTTAGGAAGAGTTGTGGAACTGGTGAAAGAAAATATATTCTGTTGATTAGCATACTAATTTGCTGTTCCTATTGCTTTAGAAAAGGATTATTTTAATGTAGTGGTATTACTAATGGTCTGCCAAGCTGGTACTACTAAATATCTTCATATTAATGGTCATGTGCCTAGATTAAATTGAATTACAGATAACTATTTGCAGTGATTTGCTCAACTAACAATAGTGAGTAGGCACGTCTAACATACCAAGTCTTGTTCAAAAAGTTTCAAAATATAAGAATCAGATTCCATGTTAGGCGCACACACACGCACACACACACACACACACAAACACACAGAGTTATCACAAAACTATTTCATATATACACACTGATAAAGTAGTATTACCATTAAGGCAAGAATAATTTTCATTATTTACTACTTTGACCAGTTTCAACCGAGTGGCTTCATCTTACTTGTCATAATATGTATGTCAGTACATTTGAAAACATTTCCTTTACTCAGATGCCTCTGTATTGTGCTAAGCAAAATACTTTCTAGCCAAGTCTTTCCTAAACAGAGGAAAATCAACTGCAGCATGTAATCTCACCAAATATAAACTCGAACTTAACCCTGGCTTCTATAAATTAGGATTTAAAGAGGTAAAATGTCCCGATAATCTTCTGGTATTAGGCATGAACATTTTAATCTAGTTTCTATTCCTCCCAGTTAGTTTAATCTGCATGTGGCCTGATTAGAGTTCACTTCCCCCACAGATTATGGTCTCTTTATTGCAGAGATGCTAGGCTGATCATTAGGTCCGATTTTCTGAGAGCAACCGTTTGCAGGTGAAGTAATAAGCGCACCACACCGGCCGGGCAAAGCGCCTTTGCCGAGGATTTGCCTTCCAGCACATTAAAACTCCAGAAGCTCTCCCAGTTGATCTGCAGCATCTGGTACCTAAAGGGATTTTCATCTTTGATTCTAAATGTATGAACGTAAAATATAGGGTTTGAAAGTTGATGTGGAATGTGTTTTTGGATTTGTTTGTGCAACTTTGCATTTCCAGCTTAGCCTTTCTAAGGTAGGGACATGTATTTTTAAATCATATTTTTTATTTCAAATGTGACAGAGTTCAATATTCTTTGGTGTGATTTTAAAATGCAGTGAGTCTAGATGAGATTAACCTGTTTCAAGGTAAAATAGATGTCATCATTTACTCCCCTCTGAAAACCTTTTTCTTTTATTCCGTTAACCTTTGGTTGTCTCTGAAGTACTATTTATTGCAAGAAAATCAGTTCTAAAATGGTAAATTAAATAATTTCTAGACTGCTGTTACAAAACAGCAATATGGAGGAAAGAGTGAAAACCATGTTATTCGATACTTTGCACAAAATAAGACAGTGCTATGTTAATAAAATTAACAATATTAAATTGAATAATTCCCTCTCTTCCTTTGTATATTTTTGCTTTAATTTAATTTAATTGCCTAAAGTTAGTTGCTTAAAGAGATGCAGCATTATGTTTGTGCACATTCTTATTGTTAAAGCTAAATTATTTTTAATTTGGAGAAGAGGGAAAAAAGCCGCATCAGCAAGAGTAAATGCCAAAATATAAAAGTAACACATTCATCCTTACGGGTAATATAGTAGAACATTGGAAACTTGGAGGTTGCCAGACACATAGCTAACATTAGGGCTAATTTTGAAAATCTAGCGTGCAGTCAATTTTACTGATGCCTGGGGACATACAAGGTAGAAGCTGACAAGAGAACTAATTTTGTTTGGGTTATTTACTGCTATGCATCATCCGCAGGTTCCCGCCTGACACACAGCTATATGAAGGGGGATATTATCACACACTAAAAATTTATGTTGACATTCGATATTTGTTCAATATGTCAGCAGTATTACTTTCATAATCAAAAGAGTAAGAAAAAGAGAAAAGAAAAGCACTTTATGCTCATATAGATATATCTTTTTAATAACAGTCTATAAGGTTAATATAGTTTACCTTTGAGAGTATACAATGAAAACAAGCAGGGTTAGGAGGGGAAATGACAGAAAGCATCAACCCGAGCTGTTTGTTTGCCATTACCTAAGCGAGCCATGTCAGCTCTCTGGCCCGCGTCTGATAGCTATTTGTTGTACAGAGAGCACAGCATAAAAAAAATATCAAACTCTTAATACTATTGTGTGCCCATAACCATCTGTCACTGCTAGCCTGGAGATGAGAGGAAGATTACGAGGAATAAACACTGAGCCGCCGAGCATTGGTAAAGCCTTCGGGCAAAAAACTCTTGTGGGGACATCAAAGACATTCTAATTCCGAGGCAGTCAAGGATTACAGTGTGTAACCTGTGCTGACAACAGATAAATGACTGGCAATATTGTGCCAGAGCTGTTGGGTCCTGCATGGAGTACTGATGATGATGATGATGATGTTATCTTGCAGAATGGACTCTGCTGGGATAATTTTATGATAAAACACTTTTTTCAAATGCCACTGGGTCTAGGCAGACATTTACTAGCTACAGGGGTAGCAATCAGTTTCTTCAAAATTTACTGTTCTAAGCCCATTAGAGTTCCATCGCAGCAAGACTCTTCAATGAAAATCTAAAACGCCTATATTTTCTTTAGGAGAATTTATGCAAATTTTGTGAGCTGAACTCCTACCCTTTAGTGGTAGATGCTTTATCATCTGATTTATGTAAATGTGCTCATAAAAATACAGTTTATTTTTAATTGGTGAATATGAATTAGAAAATTAAGATTCTGGTTCATCATTCATCAAACATCCCCAGCTACAAGCACACATTTATTTAGACCCTGATCGTATGGTGGAAATCATATAATTGACCAGTCAATATGAACAGTATTCAGAGGGAAACTATGGTTTCTACTAGAAATGACCAGGGTTGTGTTTCTTATTCATCCCTCTTAGTTTGAGCCTCCCCCTTCCTTGTACTTCACATGTTCTTGTCAGTATTATGAGCGGCTTTAACTCCGTGCTTGAAAAGGGGGGTTTTCTTTACAGTAGCCTACAGGAAGGTCCTTAGAAGCAGGAATCTGTTGCATTTTCACCTTGGCCATGTTTCTGTACCAGAGAGAAAGCATTGATGATTGTTTCCCATGTAAACATAAAGGAGAAAGGAACACTGGAGAGGGCAATTGGATTCTTACATCTTGTCATTACCTTGCCTAACAAATCAAAAATAAAACCCTCTTCTTTATCATAAAAAATATACCCATGAAATCATGCAGTTGCAGTAGCCAACTCTAAAAATGAAGTGATGCTGACCTCATTGTGTTAGTTCCACACTGGGATCATGAATGGTCTAAAATATAGTGTTAGCCTCTAACATATCTCATACTAAGTCAACCAAATGTAGAGCCAACTTGCTAGAATATGTATCAAAATCAAAAGTGACATTTTCTAGAAGACACATTCTGGCTTTAAATCTGTGTTAAAATGTCTGTGCATGAGAACAGGCCCTTAAATGCAGTGCTTGCCCCTCTCCTCATTCTTTCTCAAACTGAGCTTGTCAAGGATTATAGTGTGCAACATCTGCTGACAGTAGATAAATAACTGACAGTATTTTAGCAGAGTTGCTGGGTTCTCTGCAGAGTAATTTGTTTTCTCCTTTCCACCCAGTCTTTAATGTTTTGTTATAAACATCTATAGCAAGGGACAGTTAATAGAAATGACTTATAGAGAAAGACCTGTAAAAAAATAGGCTGCAATTGGCACTGCTTGTTGTTTTTTTTTTTTAAGTATTTTCTTCCCAAATATTATACAAAATTGAAATATTAATCCAGGTTCCAATCTTTATGTGAGTGTTCTCTAATAATTATTATAGTGGGCATAAAAGACACACTGCTGGAAGGATAAAAAAAAAACGAGTTTAGAATACATTGAAAGATCACTCTCTCAAGGCTGCAGTTCTCAAACTCTTTGGTCTCAAGACCCCTTCATCATACTCTTAATTATTGGGATACCAAAGAGCTCTTGTTTATTGGAATTACACCTATCAGTGTTTACTGTATTACAAGTTAAAACTGAGGAAAAAGTTTTAAAATCTACATTAGAGTGTTTTTAAAATAACAATAAATAACAAAATAACGTATGTTCACATTAATGTATTTTTATAAAAATTAACTATATTTTCCAAAACAAAGAAAAAAAAAATCAGCGAGAAGAGCAACATTATGTTTTTAAAAATCTGTAACCTCTAAGTAGAAGAGACTTAGATTCTTATATCTGCTTAAACGTTTAATTTGTCACACTATCTTGTTTTCGTAGAAGTTTATGAAGAAATTCTGCCTCACAGATATAGCTGGGAAAGTTGAGTGTTTTAATGATTTTTTCAGATTAATATAGAGATTCTTCTTTGATACTATACCAAAACTTGACAAGTAGGAGCTTCTTAAAAGTTTGCTGTAATGTGGAATATGAAACTACATAAATGATTTCTTCATGCTCTGTTACATGCATTTGAATGGATTTTGTAGCATTATGCACTGGTGATTTGGGAAATACAGGTTTACCAAATTGTGAAGATCTTCCAAATGTTGACACAATTTATTATACAATTTCAAAAAATAATATTTATTAATATCACCATTGATCTCATAAAGAGACATTTTTGAATAACGAGAAGCTGTCAAGCTAACAGCATAAATAGAATTTTTCCAAAATTCTTTCCTTAAAAGCTTAAATTTATCATTGCAGCAAATATTATCACTTGTTTTTCCTTGAGTGACAAGTTCACGTGGTTCATGTTTGAGAAAATGGCTGCCAGATAGCGAAGTCTGATTAACTGTGGTTTGTCTATCAGTTCTTTGAAATAAATTCACTATTTCATGAAAAGACAGCTAGTTGCTCACAACTCAAACAAGCATACAAGTATTCTTCCTCAGGACAGCTATCATGATATACATGTGTATTTCCCATTTTATTACATATTAAAAGATATCTATCGAAGGGGTGAACTTTAATAAAATT